TTACATCAATATATAATTTCCAACGGCTCAGCTCGTGTACTGTTACACCAATATATAATTTTCAACGGCCTAGCGCGCTTTACTGTTACATCAATAATGGCACCCAGGCCAACAACAACTTTGTAATTTCCAACAACCTGACGCCTCGTACTATTACATCAACAATGGCACCCAGTACCAAAAATACTTTGTAATTTTCAACGGCCTGACGCCTTGTACTATTACATCAACAATGGCACCCAGTACCAACAATACTTTGTAATTTTCAACGGCCTGACGCCTTGTACTATTACATCAACAATGGCATCCAGTACCAACAAATCCAGCACCATGGACTAGAACAGCTAAATTCATTAATGTCAGCTGTGATCGCTAGCTCACCTTGCATCGAAATCCGGGGCTTCAGATTATCGGCGGTCGCAACCGTCCGACCTCTCTTTCGACCTTCTCTCAGATCCTCAACTTCGTACCGATCGTTGATCAAGACCTTGTGAATCCGGAATGGTCCCTTGAATTTTGGGTGCAGCTTCCTGCTACTCCCGGTGGCAGAGTCACTCGTGATTCGTACCAGGACCAGGTCGCCATTTTATACAGTTTGGCATCTCAGCGCGTCTTGTCGTACCGCACCTTCTGCTCCTGCTGCTTCAGGTCGATGTACATTTTCATGTCATCACGCAATTCCGCCAAGTCCAATCGATGTACGACATCCTGGATTTCCGTTAGAAAACGGGTCTCCGCCATGCCCCTCGTCTCTCAGCCAATGAGAGCCTTCATCGGGCTGGTGTTAATGCCCTTATTCTGCATCGTGTTCAGCGCACTCTGGGTTGACTTTACTACCAAATCCCAAGCAGCTGGGTCCTGTCCTGCCGTGGTGGCGGCCAGTGCCTGTACAATAGTCTTATTGTACCTCTCGCATTGTCCATTGGCCCTTGGAGTGGCTACCGCGTTTAACACATGTTTCACGCCATATGTATTGCAGAACGTCCGGAATGACTGGGACGTGAATGCGGTCCCCCGATCGCTGATTATCCTAGAAGGAACTCCAAATAAATAAAACAGATTAGTCAAAATCTTTACAACGTATTGCGTCTTCTGACTCTTTACTGCCTCGATGACAGTGAACTTCGTGAGTGCGTCCACTATTACCAACAGGAATTTGTGATGTCTCCGACTGGTTTCGAATGGACCCACATGATCAAGATGTAACGTGTGAAAAGGTATTGGTATCTTTTCAATAATGTTTAGCTTGCACTGCTTTTTGCCGGCAGGCTGCTTATAATAGGCACAACTTAGACAAGCCTTGACGTACTTCGCCACGAACCGTCTCATACCAGCGAACCAATAGTTCCTTTGGATACGCTCCAACGTCTTCTCGGCCCCCATGTGATCAGCGTCATCGTGGCACAGCCTGCAAACCTGCATACGTGCCATTCGTGGTACCACCCACGCTTTACCGCGATCTCCCAGACATCGATACAGCTTGCCATCCTTCGGTAATGTCGACTTGCATGACTCCCAGCGACAATGGCATCGGATTTCGGCTGAGTGCATCCGCATGCGCCATCCTCGTTCCAGCACGGTACTCAATCTCAAAGGTGTATTCTTGCACCTCCAACCACCATCTGGCTATCCTCGGCAACAAATCTCGCTTCGCGAATGTCGCCCGTACAGCATTACAATCGGTTACAACCTTAAATTGTACCCCCAGTACATACACCCTAAATTATCGCAACGCCAATACGACCGCCATCGTTTCCAGCTCATACGAATGGTAATGACGCTGGTCCGCCGTTGTCTGTCTACTGAAGTAGGCTATCGCCACCATCTTATCATCAACTAATTGTAACAGGACTGCGCCCATACCGATGATGGCGTTCGCATCAGTACGTACTTCCGTCGGCTTATCCGGATTGAAAATTGTTTGCTAACAATTCGTCAACTATATTCCTCAATATTCGTTTCTCAAATTCAGCTAGCCGATACGGACGATAGACTACCGGTACATCCTATGTACATTGTATACTAAACGAGATAGTATTTGTCTTACCAAAATCCTTCGTTGAGGATGACACGCAATCCTCAAATTCTCGAATTAAATTAACACATTGTCGTCGCGCCGCTTTGCCAATGGTGCCCACGCGTATCGAGCCTTCTATTGCCACATCTAGGAAGCTCACACCGACAATATTTTCCGGCGACTAATTTATTCCAGGCAATTGTTTAAATAACAATTCCTTTCCGCGTTTGATCGTTACTACGTGTCCCTGTTCCAGAAAATCGCGACCGACAATATCATACGTCAGACAATCATTCGGTACAACGATTGCACTGACATACGCTTTCGCATCCATTATTTTAATTTCGCATTGAACCGACCGATCGCTGGTCGCGGTTTGTCCCGCGAAACCTCGCAATACAATATTAGGCCTCGTTACAGCAGGCATTTTATATTTCTCTACAATCGCACTACGCACCAGGGTACAACCGCTCCCTGAGTTGATCAGTCCGTTTACATGATGTCCGTTAATCGTCAATTTTCGTTCGTACAAATTCGATTCCGGTCTGTTTTCGTCCACGATATTTACACGTTTTCCTGCGGGCACTTGTCGACAAGATGCCCCCATCGTTTACACTTCTCGCATTTCACTCGCGGTTCGCTACATTCTCTCGCGAAGTGACCTTCTTTTCCACAATTAAAACATTCCCGCGGCTTAGCATGCACATTCTCAACGGCCTTATCTGTTGATTTCGGATCGTCCTTATCAACGTCCCGCCACTTATTCGATCGTCGCTGTCTCGAATCTCGATCCTTCCGATCGCTTCCCTTTTTCCCTGTCGGCGTAACTTTATCGCTTTTCGGCGGTAACTCACTGAGGGATGTCATATACGCGTATAATTCGTTCGCGTCGTTAATCTGCGCGGAACGTACCGCTCTCGAAACATTTGCATCCGTTATTCCCCCAATTACCGCGTCGATCATATATTTGTCCGGTATTTTAATATCTAAACTACGTAATTTGCGCAATTTTTGGAAGCAGTAATCTCCCAGCGTTTGACCGGGAAGAGACTCGTAATTCGCGGCTTCCTTGAACAACTTTTGAAACGGAATAGACTTACGAAATTGTTGCGTTAACTCTTTTTTCGTGTTTCGCCACGTGACGGCCAGTCGCGGCCGGGCGTCATACCATTGCCTGGCATGCCCCTTCAATCGGCTCGGTATAAGCCTCATAACTGATCGATCATCCCAATCGTATTGTTCCGCCAAGTCGTCCACATGCTCGATCCATTTTTCTATCGTAAGCTCATCCTTTGCTGGATCGAACGTCGGAATCATCGCCTCGTCTCCTCGCTGGATGCACGAGCGACGCCCCTGTGACCGACGATCTAACCTTTCCACGAGGCGCTCAAGCCTCACTACTCGCTCGTCGGTATCGTTGCTTCCGTCATCTCTTGACGAATTCACCGAGGACGAACGACGCCTCTCATTTCCTCGCGCTTCGTCTTTTGAGTCACAACTCGAATTCCTTCTTCGCACCCCATTTTCCGAATCGCGACACGACTTCCTTCCTCGCGCCTCGCCTTCCGAGTCACGACGCGAATTCCTTCCTCGCGCCTCTTTTCCCGACTCACGACGCGAATTCTTTCCTCGCGCCTCTTTTTTCGACTCGCGATGCGACTTATGGCGGCCCATTGTTCTACCGCCCGATTTCGTCAGAATTCCCGAACTTCTACTTCGGCACGTGTGTGAATCCCGCTTCTGATATGTACGCTACTCGATAGATACGGAACTGAAATTATTTTTATTTCCCACGTGAAGACGACAATAATACTTTTAGTAAAACTCTACGCCTTGATCTCGAGGCCGATCGCTATAATATATATTGTTCGTGCGTTGCTACGTAAAGCCAGCGAGACTCTGCCCGGCACACGTTCCCCCGCTCGTCATCCTGAGTATATTCGCGGGAGCGCTGATTGGTCGAAGCTCGAGCCCGACCATTGGTCACGGCGCATCGGTAGTGACGTCATCTCAGCAACCCGGCGGAAGGCCCGTATTCGCCGCGGGTCCTTGAAATATCGCTTACATTCGGCCCTTCCTGTCAAGGATGCCTGTCCCTAGGCATCAGGGAGTTTTTCGTTGGCAAGCAAACCGAATTTACTAGGTGTCCTTGGTCTGGAAATTCTTAGGGTTGATACCTCACTTCCGCTAGTTGGCACAACAATAGTCCAATTTAAGCTTTATGAAGGCCATAACTAATTATCGGTCCAGCCATTATCATCATCTGTAAATAATAATCATTAACAGTTACTGTGTCGTATTGCGGTCATGTTATGTCTCATTCCTACAATCCTTTGACTACACCTGCTCAACAACCACAATCTGTACATAGTCAGTTACTTCTTATAATTTTCAATGGCCCAGCTCGTTGTACTGTTACATCAATATATAATTTCCAACTGCCAGCTCATTGTACTGTTACATCAATATATAATTTCCAAGGGCTCAGCTCATTGTACTGTTACATCAATATATAATTTCCAACTGCCAGCTCATTGTACTGTTACATCAATATATAATTTCCAATGGCTCAGCTCATTGTACTGTTACATCAATATATAATTTCCAACGGCTCAGCTCGTGTACTGTTATATCAATATGTAATTTCCAACTGCTAGCTCATTGTACTGTTACATCAATATATAATTTCCAACGGCCTAGCGCGCTGTACTGTTACATCAA